GAGTACACATCTAGGACAGGGGGCAGGAGCAGTGTCAGAGGCGGTGACTCAGGACTGGCCTGGCCACCAATGCCACCCCCTGCCTTGAGGGGTATTGGTGGGACAGAAGGGTGAGCCTGTAGGGTAACCTCTTGGCTCCCTTAAACCTTCTGGGGATGGCTGTCAGGGAATATGGGGGCAACACAGGGTGAGAGTTGGAATTAATTGTGACTCCACCCCACAGGGTAAGCCTCTAGGGTCGGATGGGTTGGGAAGGATGCTCACTACTCAGATATACTGATAACATCTAGGAAGGGGACTGAGGTTTGAAGGGTAATGGAAGATTTAGTCTCATCTGCAATATTTTCATTGTTTATCAAGAGAACATAGTCATGTATTATTTGTGCCATATAAAATGGACAATAGTTCAAACACATTTTGGCATGGAGGTAGCTACAGAAGGGAGGGAATACCAGCTCCGTCGGGTGTGATGGTGCCCAGTTTGACAGCTAATGGGTAGCCTGTCTCCCTGAAGTGCTCCACAGCATGGTTGTTGCCGCCACTGCCATCAAAGTAGCGTCGGCCACAGAGGATGGAGCCATCTGTCAGGTTGAGCCACAGGTTCTCTCTCATGTCGCACTTGGAGCACTTCCAGCCACTAACCCAAGAAGAAAAGAAATTGAGCTGAAATATGGGTCAGGGGTATCTGGGAGTGGCAGAAAGAAAGGGGACTCTGTGGGCCCCTGCCAAGCCAATCTCTCTTCTCTCTCTCTTCTGGATGTCCCCCTGCTCAGTTCTTTGCTTCCAAGTCTCCCTAATTGTTATGCTGCCAGCCCTCTCTCCCACCAGATCTCCCAGGAGGGTGGCCTCTTTGCCCCTGCTCTGGCGGTTGTGCCCCGAAGTAGAGGGGCCAGGCCTCACCAGGGAGGGATTCGAGCAGGGTTGTCCAGCTGCTTGAGGTTGAAGGCATGCTTAGACACCTGCCGCACTTCCCCATCCCAGGCCTGCACTTCCTGCTTGCGGGAGGCTGAGTCGGCGGACAGTAGTGCCTCCACCGCACTGGTCACCTGGGAGAAGCAGAGGGTCAGAAACAGTATCCAAACCCCATCCCCCCATGCCCCTCTATCACTTATCATTAGCTTTCTCAGTACTTGCCCAAGACATCACTGCCCTGGCCCTGCTTGCCCTAAAACCTTTGGGAGGGTAGGAAAAGATTCATACCCGATCTCTGACAAAGTCAGGCAGTCCCCCCAACCCATCCCGGGCAATCTCCAGGTAATCCGGCAAAATGATAATCTTCACATCCTCATCGTATTCAAACTTCTCCTCGCTAAGGTCAAACCCGCCTTCGACACCTGATGAGACAGGGAAGAAGAGGGAGTAGGACCACGGCCACAGGTAAATGTCCCTCTTCTGATACAGTCCTTTACTTGGTCCCCTCCAGAGCTCCAGGGTCACCGATCGGGCCCATTCTTCTGGGGCTTTCCTAATACCTCTGAGAGCAGGAAAGCCCAGCTCAGAGACAAGAGTAGGGCTACGGCAGTACTCACCAATAGCCAGGCGGGTAGGCTTCTTTCGGGGGGGGTCTCCGGTGCCCGTGGTGCTGTCCTCCTCTTTCTGCAATGAGCCAAAAAGCGCAGAATCAGCAATGAACACCAGGTAAGGAGAAACAGGGAGAGTGGATGGGATGAAATGAGTTAATCCCAGAAGAGAATGGAGCTAAAAACGTGTGTGCTGAGTTTTAATTACTCCAACAGACATAGGTGAGAAGTCGGAATGAAACAGATTCAAAATGGAAACCCAGTGGGATGTGCCAGAAGGTCCCCAGGCCCAGCCCCTATCCTTACTGGGCGCCGGGTCCGCCGGAGGTGCAAGTAGACTCGCTGACCCGTCTTGTTGAAATGTCTCTCCACATACTGTTTCCCGAAGCCTAGGAATGTGTTCATGCAGATGTAGAGGCCACCCTCAGACTCCTGCAGGACAAAAGGCAGGGGAAGAAACAGGGAGGATGAAACCTGGCTCGGTGAGGAAACTAAGACCTGGGCTCAAACACTGCTGGTTTCCAGAAGAAAGGTTCTGTTTTCTAACACTGTGTGGCCTTTGGCAAGTCATTTATCTTCAGGATTTAGTATCGGCTAAGATTCTCCCCATTCTCCTATGACTTTGATAATCGACAAGGACTCCAGGAGCTGAACAACACCTATCAGTCACCATTCTTCCTCCTTGCTCCTTCTTTGGGTTTTGAAGCCCTCCCATCAGTTGCAGAGAATTCCCTCTACCTCTTCTCTGGAGCCAAAAGACCCAGAAAGTAAGTAAGGACCAAACACCATGGACTTCCAGGGCCAGAAATTACATTCAGAGGGGAAAGGGCCCTTTCCTTGGAGAGGACAGATCTGCATGTCAGACACTGAACCTAAACCAAGGACACCATGACAAACCCTACCTCCTCTCCAGGATTAAGAAAACCTACAAGTGTGGAGAGGCAGAGATTCTTCTGATACATCTAACCCCAGAGTTTTCCAGCAAGACCAGACCTTTCCTGTACCACATTCTGCTAAGCAGTTGAACCCTGGCCCACACTGAGGCTTCTTCCTCCTCTCCTGCTGAAGTCTGGCTCCAGTGGGAACAATGTCTGGTGTGTCACTCACAGCTAAACCTGGACCCAGCCCGGCAGGGACATGAAGTCTGGCATTCTTTACCATCACTGAATGTCCCCTCAACCAACAACTAAATTCCCACTGAAGTCCCATCAACTAACCTCAAAGTCATCCCCTTTCTAGAACAACCTAGTGACACTTGCTGAGACATAGGACACATATAACCCAGATAGAAAGCAGGGAAAGACAAGTGCCCACTCTAAATCGCTGATGACAGGAGACGATGGGCTTCCCCCAGACTGAGCAAGTCTACCAGTGCCTCTGGGAATAAAGCGATGGAGAAGGCGGGGAAAAAAATTGGGGACAACCACCTCAGATCCAAGTTTTTGAGCCACAACAGACTACTTCTTCCTGGACTAAAAGCCTCAGTGGACTTGAAAAAATGCTTTGCGGTCATATTTAAAAATAGGGCACCATCAAAGGCAGTGCATGGACAATCTCTGTACCACTACCTAGAACAGTGTGGATTATAATACCCATAAGGAAATAGAGCATTTCTCATGGGGGGAGGGGTGTCACATAAGCTCTCTTTCTACTGTGAACCCAATTTTGAAGATAATCAAATATGCTGGAAGTTGGTTAGCCAAGTCAACTCTGCTACAATGGAGGTGAGACAAATGTAATAACATTACAAAAATTCCTTTTGGATTATTCAAAGAAGTTTCTAGAAGAGAGACAGGAACGGATGAAGTCTACCATCAGTTGGTAATTAAGAAAAACCTTTTCCTCCTGAGAAAGATGGTGCCTCACCAAGCCATGCATCTGATAACCTGGAAGGCATGAGGAACTGCAGGGATGAAACTCCCCTGTTGGAACTAGAAGATGGTTTCACCAAGGACTGCGAGCTCATGAGCTCTGCTCTGAGCAGTCCTCTTTTAGCTTTGCCAAAGCCAGACTTCAGAGAAGCAGCATATTATTTGAGGTCAAACTCAAGGCCTAGCAAACCACAAATCAGCGGTGATCCTGAAGTGAGCTTTAGATCCTGCTCCTTCACTCAGCACTGCATTAGTGAAGCCTTTCCACTCTGACTTGCAGTTTTCCTGGCCCTGAGCTGGTCTGGCTGAACACCCTGGGCAGGGCCCAGCAGCAGCTTGAGGGGAGGGGTGGTGAGGGAGGTGGATCCCAACCAGGCTGCTGCCCTCTCAGTTCAGGCTCTGGCCTGGGCAGAGCCTTGTCTCTCTTGAGGGTGATACAGGAAGGCAGAATTGCAGGAAGGGAGGTACCGGGTGGAGCCTGTATAACATGAAGCATGGTGTGGGTGGCGTCTTTGTCTAACTAGTCAAGAGTGAGAGTGGGATGGGAAAGGGGCCTTAATATCCTGCATGAAAGAAACCATCTCTCTGGGAATACTTTAAAAAGGGTTCCCTCTGCTTTCTGTGATGCACGGGAAAAAGAGGGGGGCGCGGGACTAGTTCATCTTAAAGAAGAAACTAGAGCTTTCCTCTCCTCTTTCTTTCCCCTCCCTTCCACCAACGACCCACCTCCCCGCCCCCTATCCATATTAACCGTAGATGGAGGCTCTGTAACTCGGCCTTCCACAAAAGACGGCCTTCTTCAGGGCTACTTAGAAACTACTACGCGCCTAGGAAACGCACAACCTACCCTCCAACCCCAAACCCTGCCCAGAACAGTGAGAGGTAGCACCATCCCTCCTACACGAGACTACAAAACCCGGAGAACCATGCGCGACAAGCAGGGACCACTCCCAGGCTTTCCCAGGTATCCACTTGGGGGATGTAGTCCAACGATCGGGTTGCACCCCTAGCTTAGAACGGCAGAGTGGAGTGAGTGACTACAATCTCCACAATGCTCCACGAAACGGGGAGCGGGTAGGTGGCTCCCGGGGGCAGTAGTCACACGACAGCTTCAGCTAACTAAACACAACGGCAGGGAGTGGCACAGGAAACTACATGTCCCATGGTGCATCGCAAGGAGGCGGTAGCCCGAGCCTTGCAGGCCCCGGCAGAATGACCAGGGCTCTGGAAGGAAGTCGTGCTCCCTGCAGGCGTGGGGAATGGGCTTACCGGTGTGTCGAAGGAGAAGGCGCACTCGTCCTTGTGGACCCGGTCTCCAGCTTTAGGGACCCGGATCGTCGGTAATACTGACAGCAGCGCCTCCTCACTCAGCTCCGCCATGACACCGGCAGCAGCTCCTCCACACAGAGCAGCTCCCACCGTTCCTAGTACCCCACCCCCTCTCTTGCGGACCAATGAGCACTACTCGTTAGGTGCATGCGCTTCAGGGAAGATGCGCGAGAATGGCAGTTGGAACGAGCTTGCGTACTAGTGCTCCGCCCCCCGCTTTACTCGCGACTAAACCCAATGAAAAGCGCCTCCAATGCAATCGGTGGTCGAAAGAGCCAATCCCACCCTTCCAGGGTAGAACGCCTGTAGAGTAACGAGGTGTACCCCAGCGTTTTCGCTGCTCGCACTCTGGGATCCCTACAGTCCCTTCCTGTGCCTTCTATTGAAGAGCAGGAATTGACAGTTCGTTAAACCAATCTCAGAAACTTTCCTGGAGACCTGTCCGATCAGAAAATAGGGCAGTTCTTGGCATTTGAAAGGCAGCTATCCAATGAGGTGGAGCTTGAGAGGGTTAGAGTCGAGTGATGGATAACGCCGACAACCAGTAAGGATTGCCATTTCTCCTAAAAAATCTTCATAAGTCTGTCTCCGCCTGAATCTGTACATAGTAGCATAATAATCCATTCTATTTTTTTTAAAATCAAATCATTTGGTTTTTGAAACTGAAGGTCTCGAAAGCGAACACTGGCATTCCCTAAAGTCTCACTTTAGACCACTCGCAGCCTGAGGAACAAAGTCCGCTTTTATCAAGGAGGCGTCAACCCTGGGCAATCCAAGCCGCGGCCCAATTGACCTCCATGGCTCCCGTGATAGACGTCCTCTCAGCCCAATGGCTTCCTCGACTGGAGGCGGATCCATATAGTAGGCCTATAGGAGTCGGTGTCGGCTCAGCCAATAGGGTGACGGCAGGGGGCGTGGCGGGAGGTTTGAAACTCAGCTTCGGGAGTTGAGGCTCGAGCTACTGTGCAGCAAAAAGTGGAGTTGGGGCACGGTAAGTGATTTGAATAAATTAGTGAATAAATCAGAGGGCCTGGCAATTCTGGAATAAGCCGCCTTGCCAGCTGCACCAGTCATTTTCCTCCCAGAGGCCTCCGGCCCGGCGGCCAGGAGGTTCCTTAGCTGGGATCTGGGAAGGTCGGGTGGTCTGGAGTTCGAGGTCGGACATAGTCGCGGTGAGGGCTGAGACATGAGTCACTTCTCATAGGCATCCACTCCTCGCCCCTGCCCAAGCCCTGCCCCACCCCCTTCCTCCCTGTTGAGATGGGCTCAGCCAAGAGCGTACCAGTGACTCCTGCACGGCCTCCGCTGCACAACAAGCATCTGGCTCGAGTGGCGGACCCGCGTTCACCTAGTGCCGGCATCCTGCGCACTCCCATCCAGGTACTCTGGGCCGGGTAGGGGGTAGGTGGAGAAACTGTCCGAATTCTTTGGCGTCTGCTTAACCTGATTCTGAGAGAGTCCTTCCTGCCCACTTCTCCTTTGAGGCCTTAATTTCTACACCGTCCTGAATGCCTGAGGGCCTTGGCAATTTCTGCCTGGAAAGTGGGCCTGAGGCTGGAGACCTAGGAGGGAAGAAGAGTCAGGGCCCAGACTTTAATAGCCTTTGATCCCTACAGGTGGAGAGCTCTCCACAGCCAAACCTACCATCAGGGGAGCAGCCAGAGGGTCCTAATCAGGCCCAGGACTCAGATCCCCGCTCTCCTACACTCGGCATTTCAAGGACACCTATGAAGACCAGCAGTGGAGGTAGGTGTTGGGCCTAGAAAGTTCCGATGAGGCTGTCAGCTAGCATCCTCAGGTGGGGGTCAATGAGGCCATGTTCTCAGGACTCCTTCTTAAAGGGGCCTCCATCCTCCTGCTGTGAACCCATTTCACTCTTTTCTCAACATTTTACTCCCTCTCACCTTGATTTCCCTCTTAATTGCTCACCTACCAGGGTATGAATCCTAAGGCTCCTGTATTTTTTCCTCTTTGCTGAACAGTTTGTATCAGAGGGTCACTGTCTCACTTTACTTCTCCCCTCTAGAGCCTCCAAGCCCACTGGTGAAACAGCTGAGTGAAGTATTTGAGACTGAAGTCCCCAGAGCAAATCTTCCCCCAGAGCCTATTCTGCCCCCAGAGACACCTTCATCTTCTGAATTGGACTTGCCTCTGGGCACCCAGTTTTCCCTTGAGGACCATACGCCACCTGGGAGCCAGGCTGAGCTTCCCTCCAAGCAGATGTTTTCGGAGGAAGAACAGCCCTCAGAAACCCTTATGGCCAGCCAGGGCTCAGACAAGTCCATGAGAGACCCTGAGACACCCAGATCTTCAGGTACAGAATTTAAGGGCGAGGTATAAGGAAGAGAACTTGAGATCATGTTCTGGGGTAGTTTAGGAGGGATAAACCATAAGCCCCTAATTTTGGCTCCTTGCTTTAACTTTACCCATCCTAGGTTCTAAGTGCAGTAGACGGAAACCAAAGGGCAAGGTGCTAGGGAGATCCCCCCTCACCATCCTGCAGGATGACAACTCCCCTGGGACTCTAACGCCACGGCAGGTAAAGGGAGAGGGTGAGAGCTATTCCTGAGAAGTCCGACGTAGAGGGCGGGAGGCCTTACCCTGTCTTCCCTCTCCTGAACAACCTCCCTCCCTCCCCCAACTTGCGTACTGTTTTTGTAGGGTAAGCGGCCTTCTCCCCTGAGTGAAAATATTAGGGAACTAAAGGAAGGGGCCATTCTGGGACCTGGACGCCTTCTGAGAACTGGAGGACAAGCATGGGAGCAAGGCCAGGATCATGATAAGGAAAATCAGCACTTTGCTGTGGTAGAGAACTAGGCCATGTGTGGCCCAGCCCTGGACTCACCAGGGATCTAGTAATATTCTGAGTCCTCTCCCCGCTTCTTTCCCTGGGACACTGGAAAGGTTCAGTTTTTTGACACCCCCTAAACTACCAACTCTGGAACTGAGAACTTTCTTGGACTTTCTTTGTGTGTTATGTGTTTCTTGTATATTAAAGGAAGTGATTTTAAATGTAAATGATGTCATTAAGTGTTATGCTTAAACCTTGCTCTGGGTTGTCTTTATGTAGAAAGGCAGCCTGGGGAGCTTGTGTTCCCTGGCCTGAGTGCCCCTGCACTGGTTCCTTCAAATCTCTTAACGCACCTTCCTTAAATCCTGGTGTTCCCCAGGGCTCTGTCCTTGGCTCTTTCCTCTTGTTCTTCCCAGGTGTTGACCTCTAGGGACTAGCTACTACCTACCTATATTCTCATAAGTTCCAGGTCTCACCATCCAACCCGGACCTTCATCCGGCTGCCCCATGGGCACTTCAAAGTCAGTTGAGTAAAGTTGAATTTGTGATCTTTCCCCCAAAGCCTGTTTCCCTTTCCCTCTTCTTTATCCCTGTAAATAACAGAATTGTCCAGCCAAACCCAGACCTTTGCCATCATTTTGAATCCCTCTTAACACCCCATATTCTAGCACCCGGTCACTAAATCCTGCTGATTCTATGTCTTTAATCTCTTTCCTATCCCTCCCCTTGTCCCCTCTGTCCTATTGCTCTTGCATTTCTTGCCACATGCTTGCTACGTGTTTCCTTCACTCCCTCCTCTGTCCCCTCCCTCCATTTTATCGACCTACATTGCTCCTAGGATCATCTTTCTGAGAAGTGTATCTGATCACGTTACTACTTTGCTAAAAATTTGTCAATGGTTCCCCACTTCCTTTTATCATCTGATTCCTTCTCAACATAATCCTACCGTACAAACACACATGCGTGCACCACAGGCAGGCTGTGGTGAACTGCTGGGCACGTGCTCCAGCCACTGGTGAATGCCTTCTCTTCCTGACCCATCCCAGGCCTTCCCCACAAGACTTGGGCTTCTGCCTCGCCCCTACTTTCTGCCCACAAGCTGTCTGGTACCCAACCTTTATCCTTGTACCCACAATACTTTATTACTTAAGTGGGAACTGAATCTTTTTGGAACATAAGCAGGGTGGAAGCCAAACATCAAAGATATATCAGGGTACTGTACTTTATTGCAGGTACTTTGCAGAGGAAAAAAAAAGTAGAAGATGGTAGAAAAAGGAGAAAGCATGAAGGAAAAGGGGGCCAGGATCTTGGTGGTGCCAGAGCCATAGTCGGGCTGAGCACCCTACACCACACAGGTCCGGACAAAGGGAGGAGCCCGGGGGAGGGACCCTGGGGCCTGGAGCCTCACACTGGAAGCCTGCCGGACTGCCAAGGGCTGGGGAGGGGTCAGCTGTCCTTGTTCACTAAGGGCGAAACCGTCACGACCACGGCGAGGGGAGGCCATGGGAGGAGATGGGGCAGTTCTCCGCCTGTCCCTGATGCTGCCCCCCCAAGGTACACTCCCTGTGTTCCCCACTGTCTTCAAAGGAGAAAGCTTGGTGGGAATGGCAGGCGGGATATAGAAGAGAAAGCCTTAAAGGAGCCTTAAAGAAAGTGGGCAGGAGAAGGGGCAGCTGAGTGTCTTCATGGCCTTTTACCTCCCCCCTTCAGCCTCCTCAGTTCCAGATTTTGAGGAAGCTGTCCCAGGAGCCAGTGGCCACCGCCATCCCATCTGCTGTGACCCCCAGGCAGCTGACTCTGTTGTCGTGGCCAGAGAGGATGCCTGAGGAAAAGGGAGAGGAGACGGCATGTCTCCACGTGCTCGTTTGGCAGGGAGTGCGTGTGCATGCACAGGTACCCTGGCCTAGGTAGGCCAGGCTCTGAATTTAGCCCCCTGATGGAGGCTGAAAAACAGAAGCAGGATTAGCCCTAAGTGTCAGGCTTTCTCAGGAACCTGGGGTGGAAGAGGGGTAGAGACGGATGGGGAAAGGTTCGAAGTGTCAGTGTGCTATGAGAAGAGCAAGGAGCATCTTGGTGGGCTCTGGAAAATGGGAAAGTGGCCCTGTCATGCTGCTGCTTTGTTTCCAAACAAAGACACTAAGGCCCAGAGAAGTGACTTGCCCAAGGGCACTCAGAAAGTAAGCCCCAGAATTAGGATTTGGATCCTGACTCTGTGGCCAGTGTTGTTTTCATTCAGCCCCTGACCTCTCCCAAGAGGAGAAGTTGCACTACCTGATTCACCTGCGGACCAGCCTGGTCCTAGATATGCCCCAAGCTTGGGGTCAGGGCCCAGCTGATTGCACAGTTCCCTGAGACTGCCCTGTCCTTCAGTGGATGCCCCTGAAACCCAGACCTGACTAGACATTCAAGGTCCTCAGGTCTGGGGATCATGGGAAGGAGCTCCTTTGGCAAGGAGCAGCCATGGCATTGGGCAAAGGAGAAGGGCCCCTTAAAGCAACTTTTCTTTCAGAGAAGATGATCCTACATTGGGAACCACAGGGGGACTGGATTCCAGGGATAGTGCTCAGAGTTATCTAATAATTAGGGAATAGCAGCAAGGGGTTCCCAACAAGGGGAGCTAGATGGAGAGTACCTCTGGCTGAGGCAGCAGGGGGGGGGGCTGGGCTGGCCCTTACCCACACGCTCGCCCTTCATGGAGTCCCAGACATTGCAGTTGAAGTCATCGTAGCCTGCAAAGAGCAGGCGGCCACTGAGGGAGAAAGCCACAGATGTGATGCCACAGATGATGCTCTCGTGGGAATAGGCAGTCAGCTCCTGGTCCGCCCGCAGGTCAAACAGACGGCAGGAGGCGTCATCTGAGCCTGTGCAGATGGCCTCTCCGTTGGGGAAGAACTGAGGGCACAGGTGGCAAGGAGGTCAGGACTCAGACCTGAGCAGCTGCTGCCTCTCCTGCCCTCTACCTGACTCCTGCCCTGGTGGCTCTGAGGCAAGCTCCTTCTCCCAGCCTCCCTGCCTGCCCCTCCCCTGGCTTGCAGTGAGAAAGGCCACCGCATTGCTCTTCATGCATGCTGGTGAGTCCCCTGTACCCTTCACTTCCTCCTCATGACAGCGCTGCAGGCCAGCATTATGCCCAGGAGGCTGAGGGAGCGCCTGCAGCTTGCCCAGGGTCACGTGGCTAGAAGGGCGGAGGTTATCTCTGACTTCCCACTAGTCAGCTGGATCAGAGTGTGGGAGCAGGGCCGAGTGCAAATGCATAGCCTGAACCTCATCACGAGGAAGTGTCAGATCAACTCAAAATAGAGGGAAAGCCTACAGAAAATTGATTTGTACTCTTTCAAAATCTCAATGTCATGAAAGTCAAAGGTAGAAAACAGTTCCCAATTATAGGAAACAGATGTGGCAAGAAAACGCCGTACACGTTCCTGGTGGGGGGGAACTGCTATTGCAGACATGCTCGAGATGATTGGCGAGGTGCAATGACAGACTGTAGACTGCAGTGTTGTCTCAATGTTAGATTCCCTGATTTTAAGAATTACATTGTGGCTATCTAGGAGAATGGCCTGTGTTTAGGAAATACACCCTGAGGTATTTAAGGGGTAAAGAGACACAATGTCTGCAAGTTACTCTCAAAAAACCAGGGAGAACCATAGCAACAAAAGGCGTGTCTACAACTAGGTGTTATGTGTTGGTCTAGCTAGCTAGCCATCAATCATCTGTCCGTCCAACTAGCCCCCATCCCTCATCCCTTCCCCTACAGAGAGAGGAAGATACAACAAATGCGGTAAAATGTTAACAGTGAGTATGGGTGCAGGGTGGGTGGGAGCTCTTTTTGCTACTCTCACACTTTTCTGTAAGGTGAAGTTACTTCAAAGTAGAAAGTTAAAAAGCCAAGGGCCGGGAGCCCTGGGAGGCAGCAAAGGGCGGTGCAGTGGCCCTGGGGGGTGGAACACACTGGGACTCACACAGATGGCGTTGATGTCCGACTCATGGCCGGTGAAAGTCTGCCGGCAGGTCCCCTCCCGCACGTCCCACAGCTTGGCGCTGGCATCACAAGCCCCGGAAATGAAGAGTTGGTAGTCGGGAGACACAGCCAGGCTCATGCAGTCCCCTGTGTGTCCCACAAACACAGTCTTCTGCTGCCCGGTCTCGATATCCCACAGAGCACTGCCAAGAGGAGGGGAGGCTGTCACAGAAAAAGACCAGGACAGAACTGCCTGCCCAGCCCAGCACCCACAGTGTTCAGTCCTCACCACGTGGTGTCTCCTGAGCTAGTCACAATGTTGTTGTCATCCAGAAAGCGGCAGCAGGAGAGATAACCTGGGGGTGGTTAGGACAGTGTCCTGGCTTCAGAGCCACAACCCCCACCCCACCCCAGGGCTTCCCGGTAGCACCATGATAGGAAAACAGGGTTTCTCACCTGTGTGAGCAGAGAGTTCCCTGCTGACCTTGACATTGCCCTCACGGGATTTGAGGCTGTAGATAGAGCACATGTTGTCCAGCCCCCCACACGCCACAAAGTTCCCCGATGGGGCATAGGCACAGGTCATGACCCAGGAGGAGCGCAGAGGGATGGCATGTACCTGCAGGAGGTCAGGGTGAGCAGGGGCAGGGCCCGGGCTGAGCTCCCAGGTGGATAGGAAGGGAGGCACAATGTCCCCAGGGACGGACAGTGTGGTGAGGGGCAGGTAGCAAGGCTGGTACCTTATTGGTGGTGTAGGTGTCCCACACGATCAGTTTTCCATCTTGTGAGGCACTTACTAGCAGCCTGGGGAGAGGACACCCCACGTCACGCCCCGTGTCACCCAAGCCTCTCCTTCCTGCTTCCCCTCCTCTCGGGGCACGCCTCAAGCCTCACTTGGAATCAGTGGCCCAGTGCATGGCATAAATCTTGGCCAGATGTCCCCTTAACGTCCGCCTTGTCCGCATCTGGACTCGTCCCACGACTTCTAGGTCAGACACAAGCTGCAGCAAAGGGGGTGTTAGAAACCAGGGTGAGTAGGGCATGTGCCCAGATGTCAGTGTCACAGCCACTGATCCGTACAAGTTTCCGTTCTGGGTCAGCCTCCAGCCTGAAAAGATCAGTCCCTGCCATGGAGTGGCTTGGGTTGATGTGAGAGACGGCCAGTGGCATGTTGTTAAGGGTTTAACAACTCTCTCCAGTGAGGGAGGGGGAGGGGAGGTGGGTGGGTGATTTCTATCCTGTAATTCTCCCACCGCAACCAATTTCAAGCCAATTTCAAGCCGCCAATGTGAAGTCACTGAACACGAACGTAGGGAGATACGTACACATTCGACCATTCCAAACCACTGGGAGCCGGCCCGCACACACCACTCCAGCATAGCTAACTCTTTAACTGGGTATCCAGGGAATCACCATGGCCTTGAACTGCCCCTCCTGGATTTTGTTGTCCTGTGCCCCTTAGACTCTACCCAGCTTCTAGACTTGTCTGAGGCTCCAGAGCCAATAGACTTGATTTGCCGTTTGCTTGCTCTATTATCTTGGTCAAGTTACTCAACCTCTCTGAGCTTGTCCTCATCCATAAAATGTTTATAGCACCTACCTTATGGGGTTGTTATAAAAATTAAGTGAAATTTCCATGGCCAGTTAGTTCAGTTGGCTAGAGCATCATCCTGATATATCAAGGTTGCAGGTTCACTCCCCGGTCAGGGCACATACGAGAATCAACCAGTGAATGCATATATATGTGGAACAATAAATCAATGTTTCTCTCTCCCTCAAAAAATCAATTTTTAAAAAAGTAAGTTTTATCCCTGGCTGCTGTAGCTCAGTGGATTGAGTGCGGGCCTGCGAACCAAAGGTTTGAAGTTCAAGTCCCAGTCAGGGCACATGACTGGGTTGCAGGCCAATTCCCAGCAGGGGACACACAAGAGGCAACCATACATTGATGTTTCTCTCCCTCTCTCCTTCCTTTCCCTTCTAAAGATAAATAAAATCTAAAAAAAAAAAAAATTAAGCTTTAAAAAAGAAAATTAAATGAAATTATGTATTTAAGCAATTTAGCCCAGTGTCTGGCTCACAGTAAGTGTTCAGTAAATGCTGATTCTTGCCCTGGCTGGTGCAGCTCAGTGGGCTGAGTGCCAGCCTGCAAATCAAAGGGTCACCAGTTCTATTCCCAGTCAGGTACATGCCTGGGTTGTGGGCCAGGTTCCTGGTGGGGGACACGTGACAGGCAACCACACATTGATGTTTCTCTCCCTCTTCCCTTCTTTAATCTCTCTCTAAAAATAAATAAAATCTTTAAAAGGAAAAAAAATAAATGCTGACTCTTAGTAAGATATTTAATCCTGCCCTGGCCAGTGTGTCTCCTTTGATTGGAGCATTGTCCTGTACACTGAAAGTCTGCAGGTTCGATTCCTGGTCAGGGCACATGCCTTGGCTGCAGGTTCCACCCCAGATGGGGTACGTACAAAAGGCAACCAATCGGTCTCTCTCTCCCTCCCTCCCTTCCTCCCATCCTCTTTCTCTAAAAGCAGTGTGTCTTGGGTGAGGATTTTTTAAAAAAGATATTTAATCCTCTCTGAAGTACAACCAACTCTAGGAAGCACTGTTCTTTTAAGTATCACTAAGAAAGAAAAAATGCTGCCAATTTTAGTTGTAAGGCACCATCTAGTGTTGGGTGCATCTCGATTTCAGAAATGTCAAAATGTGGAAAGGTGTGCATCTTAGGATTGATGAAATACAGTATTAAACAATAACTGGAGTCCATAGGGCTTTGTGATGGACAAAGGACCGTCCCTTTCTTCCTGCTCGCCACCCTGCAAGGTGAGGGGTGAGTCCCTCCTGTTTTATGGATGACAATAGGGACAGCATCTTGGCCTTAGCCTCCAATACGGGCCCTGATCTCACTGTTTATTGAATGAATTAATTAATGTTATTTCTCATTCCAAGGACATACTGTACTAAAGCTTGGACTGGCCGGGGAGTTCCCATCCCTTCTCCTTCCCCCAGGCCCTGCCTCAGGGGGACAGAAGTCTCACCTCTGCCATCGTGGTGTCGGCACAGGCTTTCCTGGCATCCTGGGGGGAAAGCAGACATCAGGGGAGGGGAGGGGAGAGTGGGAGGTGGGGGCACATGGGTCCCTGAGGTGGGTGGGTTGGGGCTCTACAGTTTGGGGACATCTCAAGTATGAGGTTCAGAAAGCCTCCAGTCACTTCCAAGTCAGGGGTCTCTAAGGGGTCGCTCAAAAGTGAATCCAGCCTCCTCCCCACCAGGCCGCACTCCCTCATGTCCCTGTTTCTATGTTTCCTGGGATTGCCATGTGGGGTATTTCTGGGGTTACTGCAATCTGCTTCTTGAGCTGTTCCGCTTCCTGCCGCAGCTGCTCCATCTCCCCCATGGCTGCCAGGTTGAGGGGTAGCTCGGGCTCCTGCCAGGAACACGGGGTAGGTATAGGGGATCCCCAGAAAACCATGTTTCTGTCCCTCACACCCCACGCCTGACTGCTCATGAGGGTTGGAGCCCATTCCAAGAAATGGGGAAAGGACGGAAGGCCTATGCCACCTCCCCCACCAGCCCCCCAAGTCTGGAGTCCTCTGCAGCCAGCCCCAGCCCTGCCCAAGCCCCCCCTGCAGCCCCCAGCAGCAGAGAGCAGAGCCAGGCTGGCTCCCTCTTACTTGGGCTCTGACTGGACCTCTCCCAGGTTTCCAGCTCCGGTTCCCAGGCGCCTCCTCACTCCCTCAGCAGCCACGCCAGCCCGTCACCTGCCCCAGCTCTGCTGCCAGAGGAGCTGGCCTGGCCTGGCCCCACTCTGGGGGGGGGGGGGGGGGGGGGGGGGGCAGTGGCACTGACAGGGAAGGGTAGGGCCAACGATGATGGCTACGTCAGGCAAATGAAATCAGCTGGCAGAGGTGGGGAAGAGGACACGGAGAGGTGTGTGGCTCCCAGAGAGACTTGGGCCCAGCCAGGGGGAGGGGGAGGAGCAGGAATGCGGTGCTATAGAGGAGCAGCCCCCCACAACAAGCCCTGGAGGGAGGAGGGGTAGAAGGGGTGCTTCCCTGATGGGTCTCTCTGCAGGCAGAGAGAAGAGCATCGGGGCCCATAGGATTAGAGCAAAGCTGTGAGGATTAAAGGCTGAGTTTGGGAGGATGGGAAGGAGCAGTAGCCACCAGAGCTCCGGCAGTGCCCCTGGACGCTGGCCCCCACCAGTGGTGGTGATCTTGGCAGTCAGGGCCTGCCTAGCAACCAGGCCAGTCAGAACGTGAGGGTGAGACATGGCCCATTGTCCACACCCAAACTGTCTTCCTGAGCTCAGTGGGTGGGGGAAGAGGGTTCCAGTGACTACAGGGAGGGTGCAGGTGGGAGCTGAGATTAGACAGGACTGATCTGGATAATCCTTCTTCCCGACAAACCCCAACCAGCTGCCCCAGGATCTGATCCTAGGTCGGGGGCAGCGGTGGGAGCACAGGGGGTTCGGGAAGGATGGATGGGCCTGCCCCTGCCCTGGGTGTAGAAAGGTTTGCAGGTGGAAGGTAATCCCATCCCCTGTTCCCATCTGGGTTTGGTGCACTCCTTGCCCCCACGACTCCCGAGGTCCTGCTGAGGCTGTGAAAGCAGGAGCCTTTAGGATCAGGCCGCTCTAGGTCTTGGCCAAGCTCAGAGGGAAAACAGGGCTTAGAGTTGGAGGCCCAAGGAGCAGCTGTCAGGGTTTTGGGTGTATTTGCATGAGGGGAGCAGGTGGCTGAGATTTCCCTGACAAATCACAGGCCTGAGGGGCCCCGCCTCCCTGAGGCCTGAGGACAGGTCTCCACCCAGGCCAGCCATAGCCACTCCCACCTCCAGCCAAACTGTGACACACTGATGGGCCTGGGCTGAGGGAATCTTCAAGTTCTTTATTGACAGGCTGGGAGAGGGCAGTGGGGTTATTCTCCCTTCTCATCCCCCCTTATCTGAAGCAGTCAGGCCCTGCTCCCTGTCACTTCTTCCCAGGGAGACATTGCATCCTCTGTTTGCCCAGGGCTGGAGCTCCATCAACTAGGGCCAGCCCTGGCTCCTCAGACCTGGTGAGCTCAAGGCTGGTCCGTGCAGCGTCCTCTGAGTCCAGGGCTGGACAGCCCTTGTGATCCCCATGATGGTGGGAGTACGGGGACCGAGAGCTCCATGTTCTGCTCCTGTCACATGGAGTCTTCTTGTAGGTCCTGGCATCAAGGCAGCCGTCACAAGTCAGGTGGCCACATCTCCAAGGAGCTGGCTCAGTCCCTCACAGCTCCTCTCGGACCCGAGGCAGCTTCCCAGCCTTGTCCTGGACCCGCTGAAGCCTGCGGCTGGGGGGTTCTGGGGAAGGGTCTTTGCTGGGCATTTCTTCCTCCTCCTCCTCCTCCTCTTCTGGCTCCTGCAGCAGCTCTTTGGCTTCTGTCCACTCCTGGGAGGTGGGAGGAGAGTCTGGCCCAATTCCCTGCATCCACACTCCCCCAAGACCCTCCCTGGGTCATCTCAGTGCCTGCCCCTCACCCACCAGCCTGCCAGGCTTCACACACCAGGAGAGACATCCTTTCTATTTCTGCTCCTCCTCACCTGCTCCCTGTGCTCCAGTGCCCACGTGTGCCAAAGTGCCAGGGCGCAGCGCCGGCCGCGAGTCACGGCCCACACGCCGTGGGGATTCTCCCCACCAGAGCTGAAGGCCACGAGGCGTCCACAGCGAGGACGAACCTGAGCCTGGGGAATGAGGGCAGGTTCAGCTCCAGGGATAGACCTTCAGAGAACTTGGCCCTGACTCCCAGATCAAGAAGGGCAGGGGGCACCAGAAGGTCAGCTGTCTTGCCCATCACTTCCCACTCCTTAATTCAGGGACTATCTTGGGGCAGATGGGAAGCTGACCTCCACTTGGGGAGCACAAATGGAGGCTAAAGGAGTTGGAGCCAAAGGGAGACGGGACTTCATCGGGGTCCCCTGTTGGCTCCTTCCCCTGGTACCCTGACTCTTCTTGTCCAATCCTTTGACCTGGGTGTGAAGTAATCTGCAGAAATGAGCAGAGGACCAGACTCTGTGTATTGGGGATAAGGACCGTGGGGACATTCTTCCTCCCCAAGGAAGGCTTGGATTATAGGTAGCTGGTGGCAGTGAGCAGAGACAGAGGACTGGGTAAGACAGAGCAACAGACAATGAGAAATCACTGTCTCCTTCTCCATCTCCCTATTTCCAGCCCCTGGTCTCTACCTGGAATAGGGACTTGGGGTTCGGTGCTCACCCGCCCTCCTGTAGGAGGTGAGGCACGCACTGAAGGCAGAGTCTGGAGGGGCCCTTTGAAATCTCCCTGTGGGGCATAATCAACTTCTGCTAAGAGAACCCCTGAACACAGACAATGGTGACGAGGTCTGGGGAAGCCAGGGAAGGGGAGGGTTAACGTGGCCCCAGCCATTTCCCTGCATTTGCCTCTGGGAACCTTCTGTTTTGAATCCTGAGCCCACAGCTGGGCTCCCTATCCCCACCCCCACCCCACTTACCCTGACAGTGAGGGCGTTGGGCTCTGTGAAGAACAGGTCCCCGCCCTGGAAGTCGTCATTGAGGTAGAGGACTCCGCTGGAGGAGGAAGACAGGCAGTGAGACCTCAAGCCAGGTCTCCCTGCCAGGCCCCTGGAGGACCTGCCCACCTGTAGTCTCGATAAGTGTAGGCTGGGGGCTCCCGCCAGCACTCTCCCGTGTCAGGGTCCAGGACGCAGTTGTCGGCGTGTACGGGGTGACTCAGGTCCATGCGCTGCTCTTGCTCCCCTAGGAGGCAACGGGGCCTTGTGAATGCCCCGTGCCTGTCCACCACCTCCCACACCCACCCTGAAGCTTGGGTCTCACCACTGAACAGAGAGGCCAGCCCCAGCAGGGCAGGGGAATCACAGTCTTTCAGGAGTGAAGATAAACCCACAGTGTGGGGTTGCTGAGAGTATGCAGTGCCTCACGGGGACCCGAGGCTGGGGAGGATCAGTGGGGTCCTGGCGGTTACCTTCGATGGCAGTACGGCACACCAGGTGGGTGAAGGAGAGATGCAGGGGCCGTTCGGGGGAGAAGTAGGCCTGAGTTAAGGTCCGCACACGCTCGCTCACCTCCAGAAGCAGCTTAGCACCCTGAGTGCCCACAGCCCCAGCACGGGCCAGCTACAGGTAGTGGAAGGAAGGGCAAGAAAGGCAGTAGAAGCATGGGTTTGGAGTCTCTCTGCAGCCAGCTCTGTCCATCAGCCTCAACTGCTCCTTCTACTGGCTCCACAACAACCCGTCCTCAGTCCTGGGCAGAGGACTCAAGGACTGTCAGCCCCAGGAGAGCCCCTCCATAGGAGAAGCCCAGGCCCTGGTGCCCAGCCTCCTGTACACCCTCTGCCCCAGTCCTGGGCATCAGACCAGCACATGGGTGCCTCCGCTCTCACCTGTGCTGCCTTGAGCACTGTGAGTCCCTCGAAGCGTTCGTGGGGGCTGTGAGGGGAGCGGCGGCCCCGATAGCCAGACCTGGCTCCTGCCTCAGCTGCATCCTAAAGAGGGAGAGAGTTCACTGTGGAGTCCCTGCCCTTTGGCCTCAGACTGCCCACAGGCTACAACCCTCCCATTCCCTGGAAGAGGCTAGAAGCTTCCAGAGTTCTCTGGTGGTTCCTCTTCCTAAGCTGCTGCCCTTCCCAGAAAATGACTACCTTCTTGTCAGAATGCCACTCTATGGTAAAGACCTGGGATTCCTGGCTGAGGGGCCTGTGCACAGAACTCTGGAGAGCATCCCACAGCTGGGAAATGGGTGCAGGAAGGGCTTCTCATTCATCCCCGAGGAGCCAAGAATAGAGGAGGCCCTCTGGAAACATGACTCCAGTGGGAAGTTTGATAGTCAGGCCAGGTCCAGCCAACCTATCTCTCTCTGACCTCTTCCCAGTTTACGAGCCTGGAGAACTTGAGAACCCTTGACACGAAGTCTTAATTACCCAACAGCTACACAAAACTGCCATCACCTGAGCGGTGGTCTCCTGGTATTTGGATGTCCTTTCTTTTCTTTTTTTTTTAAATATTTTATTTATTTATCTTTAGAGGGGAAGGGAAAGAGAGCGGGAGAGAAACATCAATGTATAGTTGCCTTTCATGCATCCCCTGCTGGGAACTGGCCTGCAGGGAACTGGCCTGCAACCCCAGTATGTGCCCTGACTGGGAATCGAACCGTGATTGTCTGGTTCGCAGGCCCACGCTCAATCCACTGAGCTACACCAGCCAGGGTTGGATGTCCTTTCTTGACACCTATTCTTCTGTCTGCTTTTTGAAACTCGGTTAAAGTATCACAGATTAGCCCTATCTGGTGTGGCTCAGTGGATTAAGCACTGGACTGCAAACCAAAGGGTCACTGGTTTGATTCCCAGTCAGAGCACATGCCTGGGTTGCACACCAGGTTCCCAGTAGGGGGCACACGAGGGCAACCACACATTGATGTTTCTCTCTCTTTCTCCCTCCATACCCTCTCTCTAAAAATAAATAAATATTTTTTTAAAAAATAATAAAACAAATAAAGTATCACTACCTATTTACCCCATTACATAAACCTCATCTCTGAGAAACCACCTTATCAGGCAAGCCATCTAATATTTTATTCTTGTATTCATTCATTCATTCATTCATTCAACAAATGCATTTGTACTCGGCATCTAGTGTGTGCCAGGTACTCTTCTAGGCACTGGGGATACAATTGTGAATATGAAAAGGTCCCTGCTCATAAGGTTTATATTTTCAGATAATAAACCAACCAACCAGACCAATTCAGATAAGTGTTATCAAGAAAATAAAAACAGGGCTACAACCTTGAGAGT